CCTGTAATCTTAGCTACTAAGGAGGCTGAGATCTGAGGATCGCGGTTCAAAGTCAACCCTGGCATGAGAGACTGTGAGACTCCTATCTCTAATAAACCACCAGAAAACCGGAAGTGGCCCTGTAGCTCAAGTGGTAGAGCGCTCGCCTTGAGCTGAAAAGCTGAGGGACAGCGCCCAGGCCCAGAGTTCAGGCCCCACGACCGACCAAAAAAAAAAAAAGAAATCCAGGGTGTCAGGCAACACTAGGGTGAATTTCTGTGAGGTCCTTAATTGACTACAATCCTCTGCTTCAGATCACTTTGAAGCACCCTAACTGGGACTGCTCCCTATTGCCTTCCAGAGACTCAGGTCACCCAGTGGATGTCTCTCCTGGCTTGTGGGCACTCTGCTTTTGAGAACCTACTGGTCCATCCTTCCCCTCCTTCTGCAGAGCTGTTTTCCTCCTGTGTTCCACTTTCCCAGCTCGAGAGAGTCCTTGTCCTGGACATCATGGGCTTCCTCTACTTCACACAACCTCCCTCCCTGTCCACTTGTCCACTCTGCTCAGGGTATAAAAACATAAAGATGTGCCTGTATTTCCAAACTCTCTCTCTGTAGCTCACCTCAGTTGTGTCTGTTAATAGCCAAACTAAGTCAAAATGAAGGATCCATCTTATTCCTGGTCCTGGGCCTTCTCCCCTCCCCCTAGTAATAGAGGGAACAATTGATGCACATTCAGGTATAGCATCTGCTTTGAAATTATTATTGCAATTCAAGTCTTACAAAATGATTAATACTTTTTTAAAATGTTGTCATTCTGGGGATCAAATCCATGTCTACCTGAGTCCCAGGAAAGGATTTAACATTGAGCACATATCCAACTCCAGTCTAGTCAATCTTAATATGAAAAATGCAGTTTTTCAGATGAATCTGGAAATGGCTTTTTTTTTTTTTTTTGTCAGTTGTGGGGCTGGAACTTAGGAACTGGGTGCTGTCCTTGAGCTTTTGTGCTCAAGGCTAATGCTCTTCTACTTTGAGCCACAGTGCCATCTCTGGTTTTCTTGATGTTAATTGGAGATACTAGTCTTTGGGCCTTTCCTCCCTGGGTTGGCATCAAAACTGCGATCCTCAGTTCTCAGTCTCCTGAGTAGCTAGGATTACAGGCAGGAGTGACCAGAGCCAGACAATGTTCTATTTCTAAGGTCAAGATGTATAAACTTTAGTATGACAAATGATTGAAGTGTATCGAGAACTATAAGAGCTCAGAGACCCACAAAGTGTGTGTGTGTGTGCGTGTGCGTGTGTGTGTGTGTGTGTGTGTGTGTGTGTGTGTGTTAGTGTCTGGTTCTGGGCAAAGCCATGCACGGATTCTCTTTAAGGGCTGAGTTACTTCTTGAGGCTGGACACAGTGCAGGAAACTGAGCTAGAGAGTTGGTTGTGTCTGAATGCAGAGGCAATATTTGAAGAGGTACTCTCTCTGCCAGCCTCTGTGACCTGGTTTCTGAGGCCCCCACCTTTCACAGAGACCTGCATGCATGTGACACCCTGGCTCAACAGGAAGGGGAAGACACCTCCTCCACCCCCACTCCTCACCTTTTCATGCAGGGTTTAAACCATTGTTGACACACTGAGTTCATACCTGCAGTCCAAACAAAGCATTAGCTAATGTAGATAACAACCTCGCCCTTATAAACTCATTTCCTTTTTGTTCCAAAATCTGTTCTCCTAGCCATTATGTCCCTTAAGTTCTTTGAGACAAGGCAAAGTCAATCTCAGACCAATGGATCTCGCAACTCTTGGTTTTGGACCAAGCTTCCTGTTTTGATAAACTGCGTAATTTGCACAGTGGCTATACCATTTTCCATCCTCACTGGAAGAGTCTTAAAAGGGTTAGAGTTATTCCACAAAAATCACCAAACCCATCATTGGTATTGGATAGTAGTTACTCCACAATGTGTGATCCTCATTAGAGATTTGATTTACATTTCCCTAATGATTAGCGGTCTTGAGAGATTTTCCCTGAGCTTATGGCATTTGCATATATTCTATGGAGAAATTTTTATCTGAGTTTTTAGTCAATGTTTGAATCTTTTATTTGTGACCTCTTGGTTATAGCCACCAATGTTTGTAAATAACATTTCATGAGGCAAAGGTGCATCTGTGTAGAATATATGAGTTATCATTGCTTCTACACAATGAAACAGGGAAGAATCATGGCCAACACCATGAAATATTGGCGCATCATGGAAAATATTTGCTGACTTCTAGGCTGCTATGTATTTTAGTCTAGCTTAATATTTTATGCATCTACATAACTTTTTATCATATTTTCATATTAATTCCATTGTTTCTTTTGATAATTTCATTTGTCCTTAAGTTCATTTTGGGGGGGAATTGGAGCTGGTCCTGGGACCTCAACTCAAAGCCTAGGCATTGTCTCTGAGCTTCTTCTACTGAAGTCTAGCACTCTACCAGTTGAGCCACAGCACCACTTCCAGTCTTTTTTGACTAGTTTATTGAAGATGAGAGTCTCAGACTTTCCTGCCCTGGCTGGCCTCTGATCCCGATCCTCAGATCTCAGCCTCTTGAGTAGTTAGGATTACAGGCAGGAAACACCAGTGCCCAGCCTTAAGTTCAATTTGAACAAATTCTTTCCAATTTCCAAGTTTCCTAAACATTAGTTGTATGCCAGGCTTTGTCAAATATATCAGATAAAATGCCCAAATTCTCCTAAATGAATTTCTGATTGAGTTGGTTGAAAACATGTAGAACACTAATTACAATTCAGCAAGGAGAGTTTATATGGAAACATCTTGAGAATACACAGGAGAACACCAGATCAGGGCTTCCAAGAAAAAGGCACAGAAGGTGCTGAGCTCATGAACTACTCAGGCCCTCCCACCACCACCTTCAGTACCTGTCTATTCATAGCTGATGGAGAACTGCATGTTTCCCTCAGAATGCAGAGCCCTGGCACAGAAGGAGCACCTTAAGGAGGAATCACAGGTGTGCACACAGAAATAGTGATAGGCCACTGCAATGACCTGGACACCATGTAATCCTGCTAGGCCATAAGAGTCTCCTCCCTTCCCCATCATCCAGCCCAGCCATGGACATCAGAACAAAGAACCTCAACTTCATCAACACAATCAGCCCAGAAAAACAGAGGCAGTAATTACAACAGAACTAGTGTAGCTCAGGCTTTACTAGGCAGGGAAGGGGTCACACAGGACTGGAGGCCCGGGCCTATGCACCAGGTAGAGTTATCTTTCAGGCAATGTTGGGGACTGGGGTCAGTCAAGCTCCTCCAAGCAAGACAGAGGTTGTCTGGTTGGATTCAGAGCTAGGACCAGGAATTGGAGAGCAGGATGACTTTGCTGAAGAAATGGAGATCTGAAGCTTACAGAGGCTCACTTGCAGGTGGGCCTGAGTAGAAAAAGGAGATTATAGCCGTTGCAGAGAAGGGAGTAGAAGGAGGGAGAAAGGATGGAGAAGACTGAGATAGCCATGTGGGGAGCCAGGTGAGAGGGCCAAGGGTGTAGACAGATCCTCTTTTTGAGTCTTGTCATTATACAGTCCTATTTGTTTCCCCACTTGGCTTGTTTTAAAAATAGGGGTTTGGAGAGGAAGCAGCTGGTCTTCATGTATGCAGAAATCTTCTCCAGTCCCTGCAAGTGGGAGAGAAAAGGCAGGAGCTCAGGTTTGCTGCCCATTGGGCAGGAGCAGCCGCATGCAGGGACATCTACTAGAGTTTAAAATACAGATGCAGGAAGTCCACCCAACTTATCAGAAGGGAGCCTGAAGGCTCAGAGACACAAACTATACATGTGTTTTCTTATCTGTAGAGATGAGACCTAATTCATAAACATATACAAAAACATACAAGACAAACTGACTAAACATAAAATACTCAGGGGAGGCATTCCAATGATGTAATGAACAACTAAACAACAGCTTACCAAAATAAATAACTGAAGCATGCTTTATAGGGTCAAGAGCAGGGCAAAGAGGGTCAAGTACAGATGAATGGCAAAAGAAAGGGTGAATACAGTCATTCTAGTCAATGTATATATGTGAAAATGGAACCAGGACATTTAAGGGGATGGGTAGGGTTGGGAAAGATGGGGGAGAATGATGGAAGGGGTGACATTGATGAAGATCTATCTGCTGAACGGAAACCCCTTTGTACAATTACTTAAATGGAATTTTACAATCATAATAATAATAATAATAATGAGAAAAATAAGGGAGCCTGAGGGAGACAGAGGTTATGCAACATTCTCCTTCTCCAATGGCGAAGAAGTCGGCCAGGGCTTCAAGCAGCCAGGATTGGTCATTCTGTGTTCTCTCTGTGCTTTTGCCTTCTTCTCTCCTACACAAGGCCTGTCTGCACACACGCATCCCTTTTTCACATTGAAGCTCTTGACTTAGGTAGAATGAAAAGGAAGGAGGATCTGGCAGAACAGCAGGACAGAGAACTTGCCCGTGCAGCTCCTAAGTGAGCCCAGATCTCACCCAGTGACTCAGCAAACCCTGATGGCCAGTGCAGAGGAAGAAGCCAAACCACAAAGAAAGCACTAGCTACTACAACTACTAATCTAAATCAGAAAGCTGACTCTTCCTCGCCCAGCACCCCAGTGAAATCCCTGTGTGCTTAATCCACCTCAACTGCTGTCCAGAGAGCACAAGTTGAATAGCAATGAGACACATGGGGGTCTTCCTCACAAGGATCATTTCTAAAGGCTTGCTAGACTCCCAGACTGTCAACAGGCTAGGCCCACTGAGGCTCAGGCTATACTGTCATGTGCTCCACCACTCCTAAGGCATCACCCCACACCCCTGAACAGAAACCAGAACACACACACACACACACACACACACACACACACACACGCACACGCACACACACACACACACACACACACACACTACATAGAGGCATGAGGGTGGGGCGGGGTGAAGGGGCGGGGCCAGGGACGGCATGGGGGTGGGGCCAGCAGCCCCGCCCACCCCCACTGGACTCTGGGTAAAGTCACAGTCCAAGTCTGCCAAGGCCCATGTGGCTCTGTCCATAATACCAGCACCATGCCCATGACACTTGGTTACTGGGACATCCGCAGGGTGAGCCACCACCTGACCGGTGGGAGGGGCCGAGGAATGGGGAGAAGCTGACTGGGGCTGGGGAGGGGGGCAGTTCTAGCATGGGGATCTTCCTCAGAACTTGCTGGAGTCTTCTGCCTAAGCCTTACCAGAGGGCACACACGTGCGACCTCTTTCTGTGTGTGCACGCATAGCGTGTGCATGCATGTGGAAAGTATTGTTAGATATTGTTAGACTTCACCTGGAGGAGGTGAAGTCACAGACAGGATCCCCCATTTCTGATCTCTCTCACCTGCCAACTTTCCCAGCTGGCCCACGCCATCCGCCTGCTCCTGGAATACACAGACACAAGCTATGAAGAGAAGAGATACACGATGGGGGACGGTAATGACACCTCCTGGTCAGACTTGTGACCAATTCTTGCCCATTGGGGTGCCCAGCCACTCATACTGTGGTCACCTGTTCCCAGCTCTGCAGGCCTCCAACCACACCCAGGGCCTGCTCCTTCCCAAATCCTAAAAGGGTGCACTTTGGATTTCCATTACAAGGAGCTGGGAGTGGAGGGCCAGGGACCCCCCTTTATCTGAAGTTGGGTGGGGTTGTCTAGCACTGGCCTAAACCTTTTGTGCTCTGGTCCTTAGATCCTTCAGCCTTCCCAGCATTCTTCACCCCTGTAGCCTTGGAATGTGGGACACAGCTGGTCAGAGTGCAGATCCACTGCCTCAGGGGGTCCTGGGGAAGGAGGGCTGGACTCAGAGAGGTTTGTTTTCACTTGATCTTATCTACCACAGCTCCTGACTATGACAGAAGCCAGTGGCTGAATGAGAAGTTCAAGCTAGGCCTGGACTTCCCCAATGTAGGTGCAGGGGAAGGGGTGGTCTAGGGAAATGTGGCCTCCCTCCCTCCTTCCCCCCTTTCCTTGCCCAGCTGAGAGCTTCTAGGATCAGTGCTTTTCTGCTCTACTCCTTTCCTTCCTGGCTATCTGTGGTTTTCTATGACGCTCTATGTCTTGACTCTTGCATTCATTCTGAAGTGTGTTTATGTGGGGCTCACCAGTGCCAAGCACACTGAGTGCTAGGTTCTGTGTTTGCTCTAACCCAGAGAAGAGCTGCTGGGACCTGGGGCCCCTTGTGACCTTCTCTGCTTATCCATCCAGCTGCCCTACTTGATTGATGGAGCTCACAAGATCACCCAGAGCAATGCCATCCTGCGCTACATTGCCCGCAAGCACAACCTGTGTGAGTGAGGCTGGCTGCTGGGCGTGTGTGGGACAGGCAGTGGTCATCCCTTGGGCTTGTTTGGGGTGGGATGGAGAGGATGCAACTGAGTTGTGTGGCTGCAGGTGGGGAGACAGAGGAGGAGAAGATTCGAGTGGACATTTTGGAGAACCAGGCTATGGATGTCTCCAATCAGCTAGCCAGAGTCTGCTACAGCCCAGACTTTGTGAGTCATATATTACTACCCACTCCCTGTCCCTGTCCTCCTCTGCCATGGGCTGTGTCAGGCAGGGTTTGGATCAAGAGTCAAATCTTTTAAATTCCCATCTCTGCTGGTCCTCTTTCACTTTTGAACTCATTAGAACTGCTTATCTTCGAGGATGTTTCCTGTGTTGCCACCTGTGTCCCTCACTGGACTGTATTAACTGAACATTCTGATTCACTCCCTACCAAGCTGAGTGCAGTCTAGATTCTCCAAGATGGATATTCAGTGCTAGAAAGTGTCAGGGTTTCAGAATTCTCTCCACTTCTGCCCTCTCCCCTGGTTCTTTTCCCAACAGGTTCATTCCATGTACCTGCTCATGAAATAAACACACTCACTGAGGAGAAAGGGAAGTCCACATGCAGAATTGTCATGGAAGTCTTGAGTTCTGGCCTCTGCCAAAATGTTTCCTAGTGCTGTCCCCTTCACATCAGCATGAATCAATTACTTTTCCTTATGGGGCCAGCCAGAAGACCTCTGCTCCTCTTTTTCAGCTTCATTTTTTGCTTTATCAGAAAGACTCAGATGTTTATTTCATGCTTTTGAAACTTACTAGGTAGAGCTAGTACTTTTAGTTCTTGCATCTTTGATTCTGCCTGGCATCTGCCAGGTAGTCAGAGCATTCCTGGGTTAGACACACCGGAGGTTGTTTGACTATCAGGAGTTGTAATGTTTCCTTAAGAGAAGTGTCCCATTCCTGTCTGACTTTTTATTGCCTTTCAAAGACTGGGTGAAGTATCCAGAAGGAGTCTATTAAAGACTGAACACTGACCTAGTCTCCATCTGAGGGAAGATGGCTGCTGATTGGGGCTATGCCCAACACTGTGGAGACTGGTCACTCTGTCAGGGAATTTGTGGGTGAGGGTAGTGACAGCTGTTTTCTGTCTCAGGAGAAACTGAAGCTAGAGTACTTGGAGCAACTCCCTGGAATGATGAAGCTCTTCTCAGAGTTCCTGGGGAAGCAGCCATGGTTTGTTGGTGACAAGGTAAAGGAAGGGAATCAAGCTGGGTACCAGTTGTTCACATCTGTAATCCTAGCTACTCAAGAATCTGAGATGTGAACATCATAGTTTGAAGCCAGTCTGGGCAGGAAAGGACCTGAGCCTCTTACTTCCAATAAACTGTTAAAAATAAAGTATATTTGCCTTGAACAAAAAGAAGCTCAGGAACAATGCCCAGGCCCTGATTTCAAGCACCAGAACTGGCACACATACACTAAAAAGGGAAGGGATGAGAATTTGTTCTTTCAAGAGTACAGAATTTCATGCTCACAAGCCAGGAGCCAGTGGCTCACACCTGTAATCCTAGCTACTGAGGAGGCTGAGATCTGAGGATCGTGGTTCAAAGCCAGCCTGGGCAGAAAATTCTGAGATTCTTATCTCCAATAAACCATAGAAAACTGGAAGTGATGCTGTGGCTCAAGGGGTGGCAGCACTTGCCTTGAGCTGAAGAGCTGAGGGACAGCACCCAGGCCCAGAGTTCAAGCCCCACCCACGACTAACAAAAAAGAAAGAAAGAAAACAAAAAAAAAAAAAAAAGAATTTCATGCTCCTTTATCCTTGGCTGTTTTGCAGATCACCTTTGTGGATTTCCTGGCTTATGATATCCTTGTGACTTGCACCATATATTTGACCCCAAATGCTTGGACACATTTCCAAACCTGAAGGACTTCATTTCTCGCTTTGAGGTGATACCTCTCATCCTCCTTTTCCAGGCTATGACCTCCTTCTTCTTTTCAGGATGTTTTTCTAGGCCTAGAGCTGAATGAAGAGCAACTAGGGCCTGTAGTTAGCAACTTGCATCTATTGGGCTGGCTTTCCTACAGAGAGAGCAATCTGTCCCACTGGACGGATTAGGAACTTGGGAGTGTAGGGGGTGAGTCACTTGTTCAAGATCTCAGTGCTGGGGAGGTTGCTCTGGGATCCTTGTGGTCCTCTGACTTCTAAGGGCAGCAGTTTAGTAGCTTTCCAGCTTTTGTGCTAAAGGAAAAATCTTCAGGTTTACTGCCCAGGACCTTGGGCAGAGTCAGCAGAGTCTATTCAACAGGTATTAGGAAAGTGAGGTGAGGCATTAATGTGAATCCCCAAGATTCAGACAGTATTCACACCTGATCTGCAGGAGGCTTTGCTCAATCCAGTCAGATCAGTAGCTGGTGCTGGATTTGGAGAGGCCTAGGATAGAAGTATTCTATGGTGTGGGCCTTTCCTTCCACCTTCTTCCTTTGTTTTTTTCTTCTTCCTTTGAATGTGCCAGATGGTTCACATGTGAATTAATCTATGAACTTATTTTTACTCATGTTTTCTGACCTTTTCTCTATGAGGTTCCCTGTAGGCGGGTACAATAAAGAGAGATGCCCCTTCCCCCATCTTGGCACTGAGTAAAGCATGGAATAGTTGGAATTCCAGACTGTGAGGTGCCCTACTTGGGTTCTGGGGAGCCCAGCCTTGATCTCACCTCACATCAAGGCCTGGGGCAACTAGAGTCCTTAATTTGAAACCCATAAAACCTACTTTAGGAGATTTGGAAGTTGTAGGCATCGTGTGAATTATTTAGACTAGAATTTGTTGTTTCCCCTTCCTCATGAAGTGTTGTGCTTTTGCAGCAAGTTCTCATCAGTTCTGGTTCTGGTCCAGATTATGTGGCCTTGGGGATTGTGCAAGAGCTGGCTCAACTCTGAGATGGGAGGGATGGGAGGGATGGGAGGGATGAGAGGGGGAGGGGCTGGGAGGGCTGAGGCTGCTGCCTGAGGCTAGTGTGGACTTGATCCATTGATACAGGCAACCCTAGATTACACTGAACCCTTTAGAAATTGCCCAGGAACTGAACTTTGGTAATAAGTCCCATAATACAATGGAATATCATTTAGCCTGGTCTCTGTATCAGGTCTGGCAGTTGGGTGGGGTACAAGTGGAGAAAATTGCACTTTCTGCTCTTAGAGGATTGATTAGGACTTGCTCTACCTTTCCTTATGGGTCCTCCTCCGTCTGTGTGTGTGTGTGTGTGTGTGTGTGTGTGTGTGTGTGTGTGTGTGAGTGTGCGTGTGTGGCTGAAACTCAGGGCCTCATGCCCTTCCTTGGCTTTTTCTCTTTCCTTTTTTTCATTTTGCTCAAGGCTAGCACTCTACTACTTGAGCCACATCTTCAATTTTAGCTTTTTTTTTTTTTTTTTGCTGATTAAATGGAGGTAAGATAAGAATCCCAAAGATTGCTCTGCCTGTACTGACTTCAAACCACGATCCTCAGATCTCAGCCTCCTAAGTAACTAAGATTATAAGGTGTGAGCCACTGATGCCCTCTTCCTCCATCTTCTACACTTTTACCCAAGGTTTACTGAGTTGCTGGGTAAGGCCTGGGCTCTATGCCAAACAGCATGGCAAATTCTCAGCTCCTTTGTTCTTCCTGGTCGCTCCCTTGTGTGCAAATCCAGGCAAACAGGAGCTTCCCTGGGAAAGAAGAGCATGTCTGTGCAGACAAGGGCCTCCTGTGTGAGGGCAGAAAGGGCATGTCCACAGAGGACAGACTGACAGACAGCCCTTTCCTTCTCACTATCTGCATGAATAAGAGGAAGTTGCTTTCCCTCTGTGGATCTCCACATATCCTGAGCCTCTGCTTTCTCTTTTCCACTCAGGGCTTGAAGAAAATCTCTGCCTACATGAAGAGCAGCCGCTTTCTCCCAACACCTTTGTATACAAAGGTGGCCACATGGGGCAATAAGTAGAGTTTTGAAAGGATAGTGAGAAGTCCATTTTGTCCCTGCCTGGGACTCTGGGAAACAGCTGGACCCCTGCAGCCCTAGCCCAAAACAGATGATAGCCATCCATGGAGGCATGGGGCAGGAGCTCAGCATTCTTAGATCACAGCCATACATAGTCAAAGCACTTATTGTTGGTACCAGTAAGTCTTGATTGTAACACCTTTTACACTGTTTATTTTCTGCCTTTAAATGGATTGATAATGTTGGGAAATAAACTTGACTAATGTTAAACATTTTAACAGCAGTTAAAGGAGCTGGAGCCTGACTGGCTTGAACAAAGAATGAATAGTCAAATGTGTCCCCAAGTCATGACTCTGGTGCCAGAATGCACTGACCAGCAAGTAGCTTGTATTGGACTTTTGCCACCACTAGCCTTGTGAACTCTAGAAGACCCTATGGTCACTCTCACCCAGACTAGCCAGGGAACACCTCATTACCCTAGTGGCCCAGCAGAAGACTTGTGATTGGTGCAAACAAAACCCTTCATTTGCATGAAGGAATTCAATGATTGGTGTAGACCCATGGCAAGTCTTGTTTCTTACTGTGTCGGCAGGCTGTGTGGCTTACTTTGTGCACATCATGAGAAAATCTCTTTGCTTTTCCTTGTTATTACAATATAAGGCCCAAATTAAGAGTGATTTTCTTTGCCTACTTTGATTTTCATTGTTAATACAGTGATTGAGGGGGTAATATGAAAAATATTGGTGCCTGTAGTCAGGCACCGGTGGCTGACGCTTGTAATCCTAGCTACTCAGGAGGCTGATATCTGAGGATCATTATTCAAAGCCAGCTCAGGCAGGAAAGTCTGTGAGACAATTATCTCCAATTCACAACTGGAAAACCAGAAGTGGTGCTGTAGATCAAGAGGTAGAATGCTTGTTTTGAGCTGAAGAGCTGAGGGATAATGCCTAGGCCCAGAGTTCAAGCCCCACAACTGACCAAAAAAAAAAAATAGTGGTGAAAGTGGAGTGGCCAAGCCATCAAGGCAAACATGGCGGCAGAACTTGCAGAGCACATGGGCAGCAAAGATGGCGCTGAGAGAGAGTAGAGTGGGCAGAGCCCGATTTACTGCAGAGCACATGCGCAGCAAAGATGGCGCTGAGAGAGAGTAGAGTGGGCAGAGCCCGATTTGCCTTAAGTTGAGTGCATAACCAGTCCCTGGAAGCTTAGGTGCATGATAGGGTGTGACCTTGACAGTGATTGGTTCCTCTTCCTCCCCTGCAAAGCCACCTGCTCCTTTTTGGCTTTAAAAAGGGCCTGTTTTCTGTTAATAAACGAGTTTTCTACCTGCTTGACTTGACTTCCCACTGAGTCTGATTGTCTCCCAGGCTGAGGGAGGCTGGGGAATGGGCAAGAGCCACACTTACCTTTCCTTGGACCCCGTCCGTCTTTTCTTCGTGGGACTGGGCGGACGAAGACCCAACATCTGGCGCCCAACGTGGGGCACGAAAGGAAAAGATACTGGCCGAGGCTAAGCAGTCTCTCAGGGTAAGTGAAACCCTTAGTATGGGTAATGCTATCTCACAGAAGAAGGAGGAGGAGGCGGCAACATTAGGCCTAGAAGGAGTACAGGAGGACTTGGGAAGTGAGAAGGAAAAGGAACGGGTCAAATTGGACTGAGAACACACTGAAATATGCACAGTGGAAGTCAAAACGAGGGTGAAAATGACTCCCTCTGACTCAGGTGCTCCTGATGGTCCTAGGGCCCCTGCCTATTCCCCCGATTGGAGGGGAGGTACTGCACCCTATGAGACCTGGGAGAGGGACTTTCAAGACCCAGACCTCTACCAACCTTCCATGGAGGGGCCGAGGCCTGGGAAGTAACCTACTCCGAGAACTACCCTGGAAGGGAAGGGCCTCCTGAGAGCCTGGACTCTAGACCACAGGATTCGCTTCCCCAAGCATATCCGGTCAATCTGGCAGCAGGGGCTAACAGGCCCTGGAATGTTATCCATGGGAAGCTAAGGATCTTAAAGAGCTCTGCAATGCAGTGGCTCGGGATGGCCCAAACTCTCCCTGGGCCCAGATCCTGTTACAGGACATTGCTTATCACCCATGTGTCCCAAAGGACTGGCTGGATGTGGCCAAAGCCATCATCACCAGTTCTCAGTTTATCAAATGGTGTGCTTTCTTTAAGGAGGAATGCAGTGTGGGAGCAGAAATAACTGGCCGGCTCAACCCGCGATACCTATTATTTATGCCATGTTAACAAGGATGGGGAAAGGGTACTCCATTGGCATCCAACAGGCCACCATACCTAGCCCATACCATGACCAGGTGAGGCAGGCAGGACTTGCCGCTTGATACAAACTGGATGATGGGCCCACTGAGTCCCCCATAGCAGCAGTGAGACAAAAACCGGGTGAGCCTCTACCTGATTTTATAGACCAAGTCCAACAAAGTGTTCACCGTAAGCTGCCAGCAGGAGACCTCCGAGATCAGTTTGTAAAGCTGCTGGTCTGGGAAGGGATGAATGCAGACCACCACATGGCCTGCAAGGGATTGAGAGAGAGTTCCCTGAGCAGATGGGTGGTGGCCTCGCAGGATGTGGGAACGCAACAGCACCAGTCCCAATCATTAGCTTTAGCTTTACAGGCTCAGACATCTGCAATGACTGAGGCTATTAACCAGGCGCTGGCAGCCCAGGGCGGAGGAACCCCAAGACCATCAGGGAGAGGGACTTGTTTTAAATGCGGGCAGGAGGGGCACTTTAAGAGGGACTGTTTACAACAATCCCCCACCAACCGGCCCAGGGGGGCCATAGGGCCCCCTACACCCTGCCCCAAGTGCACACAGGGATACCATTGGAAAAAGGATTGTGGATCCAAGTTTGATTTAGATGGGAAGCCTTTAAACTAGGGGAGGGGCATCCTCCAGCCCCATTAACTCAAGGAGGAACCTCCTCTGCTGTGAGGCCCAGGCAGCCTCATGGCAGGGCAACCCAGGCCCATTGGACCTTCCCCCTGGTGGAAGGACTCCACCCTAAAATGAGTATTCTTATAGGCGGAAAGAGGTTTCACTGCTTAATTGGCACGGGGGCAGATCGAACCATACTCAGGGAGGAGGAAGTGCCCTTGGACTGGAAGCTTGCACCTGGGCCCCCAATATTGGGGGTAGGAGACAACTCCCAGTCCAAAGATATGGTTGCCATTATGAAATGTACTAGCTCAATTGGAAAACACTGAAAGATACGCCCTTTAGTGGCAAAAAACCCTCACTGCCTATTTACTAGGCCAAGACATGCTAAGACAAATGGACACTGTGGTCACTACAGACCATCCTGGATGGAGAAGAAGCACAAAGGCTTAAACAGGAACTAGAGGGAGTTAAGGAAAAGGATTTTTTTAACTTTCATAATTACAGAGAAGGACATAGGGGACCCACTGGGGTACACCCCCAATCCTAAAGGCCACTGGCCCCTGATTACCTCCCCTTAGGTGGAAGCCGGGAAGCCCAATCTGGGTGGAGCAGTGGCCATTGACAAAACCTAAAGTTGTAGCCCTCTACCTTCTGGTGGAGGAACAGATAAACCTTAGGCACATATGCCCTTCTATGAGTCCTTGGAACACACCCATATTGCTACTCAAAAAGCCTCTGGGGCTTGGTGTATGCTCCAAGATCTACTTAAGGTAAATGAAAGGATGGAGCTAGTAGGAACGCCCCTAAGAGGCATGCCCTGGACTCCCGCTATACCTTCAGAATATACCTTGGTTGTGATTGATATTAAAGATTTTTTTTTCTATCCTCCTACATCCAGATGACTGGGAGAAGTTTGCTTTCTCCATACCTTCTCTTAATTTTTCCCAGCCTGAATGGAGGTTTGAATGGACAATGCTGCCACAGGGAATGGCCAATAGCCTGGCGTTTTGCCAACAATACTTGGCCACACTTTTAAGGCCTGTACTGGGTTCAGATACTTCCCTTGCCTATGCCTACATGGATGATATAATTCTGGGGCACCAAGACCCAAGCTGCCTGGAGGGCCTTCTGGCCCTAGTTCTCGCCATATTAAAAAAGGGGGGTTTTACCACAGCCCTTAATAAAATTCAAAAGGTAGCTCCTTTTAAGGTGCTTGGGACCCACCTTACCTTGGCTCAGGCCAACCCCCTTTAGCCTTTGCTGGATATTCCAGCCTCTCTAACCTGAACGCAACTTCAGAGTCTTTTAGGGGAAATCAATGGGCTGGTGCCATGGGTTACTGCCCCTAAAGATAGTCTTGTGCCCTTATTTGCCCTACTAAAAGACAGGACGCCCCAAGATGTTATTATAATTACAGACAACCATTGGGCAATATTTTTGCAGTTCCAAAAAGCCCTGGATGAAGTTTCTCTAAAGAGGTATTCTATTTTTGAGCCCATTTTTCTTTGGTTGTTTGCAGGTGTCACATTAATTTCTGCAGTTTTAACTCAAAGTTTGGAGCCATTAGAGTGGGTTCACACTCCCCTGGGGGGCACACCTCGGGTGTACTCTCAAGCAGACCAGCTTGCAGATGTTATTGTTAAGGGAAGGACCCAACCCCAAAGGCATTATGGCCTTGACCCTCACTCCTTTGTTTTTCCTCTTCGGATAGCAGACATTGAGTGGCTCACTCCAGCCAATGCTCATCTTGCTCTCTCCTTGGAGGGGTTTCTAGTCCAAATTGACTGCTATTATGGGCCATTCAAATGGACTGTCATGTCATGTTATGGTGACTTCCCCTCAAAATGCCATCTCTATTTTCTCCTATGCCTATTCCTGGCACCCTACATGTTTTTACTGATGGTGGTAAGGCAGGCTCTGCCTATGCAGCCTTTGAGGAGCAACAAAAGACCCCGAGCTAACAAAGATTTCAACCTTGTTAAGGGTCAGCACAATATAAAGAAATGCTGGCCATAATTATGGCCCTTCAGGACATTCAAAAACCCTTTAATTTGTATTGGGATAGCTTATATATGATTAACTTGCTCCCTCATATTCCCCAGACACATATTAAGCTGGATGAAAACCCTATTTCCCCTCTTATGGTTACCCTTATGGGCCTATTAGAAGGGCGGGGAGCCCCTATTCATATTCAACATTTGAGCTCAGATTCTTGTAAAGGACCTCAAAAGGATAGTACATACCTGTAAAACATGCCAGCC